ATACAATTTATTATAGACTTTTCATTTTCTTTCCTCAAAAATTACATGGTTTTCAACCAAATTATGATTATTATAATTACTATTAATAAAAAATTAATATTATGATAATTATAATAATATGGTTCTTGATATTAATTGTTAATTATTAATATTAATATTGAAAAAGATTGATTCATTTTATATTCACCTTTTGACCTGCTTAAAGGGACGTTCTTACATCTTCTTGAGCAATTATTTCTTTATGAACAGTTATTTCTTCAAAATTTATGGCTGCAGGTGTAATACTCCAAAATTTTGTGATATTTAGCATCAAGTTAGGGACTTGTTTAAGAAAAAAATATTGTTTTGGGTTTAATAGCCAAAATTTCAGAACTTAAGGGACTTAAAAGAGGAAAATTTGGATAAGGATGGCTTATTTCTTTTCTCCTTTTTTTCTTCTTTCTTTCTACTTCCCAGCCTTGCTCGATTCTGCTCTTCTTCTCCTTTCTTCCCGCTGCAGCTCCCGAAGGCCCCAAGCAAGCCGACGCACCTCCCTTTGAAAAAAACGGTAGAAAGCTTGGTTTTGGCCTTCTTTTCTTGTTCAAGAACAAGATTGGAACCCAGAAATTCCCCCCCCTGCTGGAAAATTCGGATCTGCTTTGCTCTGTCCGCCGGCTACTCTTGTTGTGGGGGCGAAATTCTTCAAATTCCGGTAAGCCACAGCCATGTACTCCCTCTCTTTAGCCTTGATTTCACTTGGGTTTACCTTAATTGCTCTTGGTTTCTTGAATTTTGGGTAGATCCGTGAGTTCCCTGCAGGATTTCTTCTTCCATGCCGCCGGCCTCTTCCCCCTGCCATGTCCGGTTCTGCAGCTGGAAAATTCTGATAGGTTGGCTTCTCTAATTCTCGAAAATTGGTTGATAAATTGATGCCCCATGTGCTGTTTGAATTTTGCTAAATTAGGGGGATAATTCCGGTAGCTTTAAGATGAGATTTAAGCACTAATTCAAGTGGGTTTTTGTCTAATTTAAGTGTAAATTGCTTGAGTTGGTTGCTGTGATTTTTGGAGAGAAAATCCCGTGAATTAGCTAGTGTTTTGGCCAATTTTGGAAGTTTGAGTTACTGTTTACGTCGCGGTTACTGTTCATGGGTACTGTTCACGGCACTGTCCACCACACTGTCCACACACCAAGGGTCAACAATTAACGGGGATTTAAATGATTAGTTTGTGATATAAGAACGAATTTGGAGATATTTGATAATGTGGAGATTTATAGAAATAGCATCATGATGAAGGGTGGTTTTAATGATGATTTCAGTGTGAATTTGTGATAGTATAGTATTAATTCTTGGATATTTTGATTAAGTTCTTGATTCTTGGATATTTTGATTAAGTTCTTGATTCTTGGGGTACTTTAGTACGTGAATTGAGTGCTCGGCTTTATACGAGTGAGGTAAGTAGATTATGGTAACGCCCTTCGATTTTAAAGCATGTTTTGATTTGTTTTTGAAGTGGTGGCGGGACTAAACCCGTTTTACACAAGTATGATCGATTGAAAAGAAATTTTTATGCTTTTCATTAAATTGAGCATGCCTATTTGAAATTTAATTGATTGTCCTGATGATTTGAAAGTGATTGGTAAATTAAGATTTTTTTGTTAACTTCTGTCTGTTTGGTCTTCGATGTGGTTATGTTGTTAATGATCCTGCTAGTGGGGGTTAAACGCTAGCACATGTCAACATGTTATTGATAAAACCGGTTCGTTCAACCCTGGTAGTGGGGGTTATACACCAGCAAATAGTGTGCCTGCCAGTGGGAGGTTTATAATACTGGCCGTGACCTATAGAGGAGACGTCTATTTCGTTCCCGTACTGTATCTGTTTTTCGTGATTATACTTGTTGGCATCTTATAAGTTTAATTAAGGGCACTCCATATTTACTTCTTGAGTATCTCATAGTTTTCCTTGTCCACCATTTCAAGAAGCGAAATCGAGGACGGGGAAACCACGGGAAGTGACGAGTTAGAAGGCTAGCCATTTCGAGATTGATATAGATTTTAGATATAAATCATGATCTTATAAACTGGATTTTAATTGGAGATTTTATAAATTCATTGAATGGATTGTTAGTTACAAGAGATTTGACCTTGAAATTTTGGTAGTATTAGATTGTGATATGATAAGTTTCGAGCCTTGTGCATTTGTAGGACCTTCTAATGAGTGCACGGTGTCTGTCATGCCTTGAATTCGGGTTCTGGGACGTGACAGCAGGATAAGCAATAAAATGATTGTTATGATAAGCAATAAATTTATATATACCTTTTGACCTACCTAAAGGGACGTTGTTACATCTTCTTGACAGTTATTTTTTTAGATTTCATGGCTGCAGGATAAGTAATAAATTATGATTGTTATGATAAACAATAAATTTATTAATATAAAATTATTGAAAATAATTTACCAATACCACAACTAAACCGTATTTACCAAAGATGAAAAATCTGATTCTTTCAAATGTTTTCATGATTGGCATTTAGCCATCCTCCGATTTTCCTTCTATTCTTTGTGTTTAGGGTTAGAGTTGCTTGGATTGAACAAACACCCCTATTTTCCCATGGTTCCCTACCTCACTGGACATTATTTTTGAGGAGCTAATTAATTAAATTAA